ACAATTTCATTTTGTGAGGGATGAAAGACTACAAATTGGGTTCAGCGTACACTGATTGCGGGATGGGTGCACCAGAATCTCACAAATCACCACTAAATAACTTACCACGTAACCAAACACCATCTGGTCCCCCCAAAACTTATGGAAATCAAACATCTTTTTAAAAATCGTTTTGAAAATGTTACTCTAACTGTGGAGAAGAAAAGGAGGAGGATGGGGGCAGCATGGGGCAAAGATTGGATGTGGAGAGTCAGGAGACAATCGCGGTGGTTAGGTTAAAGATTTTTTTATTTTTTTGAGACAGGGTCTCACACTCATTGGTAAGGCTGGAGAGCAGCGGTGCAAGCTCGGCTCACCGCAGCCTTGACAGCCCAGGCTTGAGTGACCCTCCCACCTCAGCCCCCCAATCTCTGGGACTACAGGCATGTGCCACCACACCTAGCTAATTTTTGTATTTTTTTGTAGAGACAGGGTCTCACAATGTTGCCCAGGCTGGTCTTGAACTTCTGGACTCAAGCAAACCGCCCGCCTCAGCCTCCCGAAGTGCTAGGGTTATAGGCGTGAGCCACCGCACCCAGCCAGGTTACAGATTCTTAATTTTGGCTCCATTCCTCAGAGGTTTAAAATCTGGACAAATAGGCTATACCTAATACCAGTTAAATCAGGGTACCTGGATGCAAAGCGGCACGGTGGCAGTCCTAGGCATCAGCAGTTTTTTAAAACTCCCCAGGTAACTCCATAGTGCAGCCAAGTTTGAGAACCAGTGATTTAGGAAACAGATGGCGGGTGTCAGCAGTAGATTTAGATACATTTGAGAGATGCTTAGGTGACAATAATTGTAGAAACAACAATAGGCAGGCAAAGGGCTGGTCTGCAAGAGGCTTGACAGGGATTTCTTGGGGAAGAGTTTTTCACAGAATAAGAGAAAGAATATTAAATTGTTTATCAAAGTATAGGCTGTTATCCTAACCATCTGGCCAGTGTTTGATCAGATTGTCAGGGCAGAAGATACGTCTGGATGAGCAAGGATGTGCATTTCATGTTCAGTTCTCTGAGGTGTCTGATTAAACATAGACCATGATAGATCATGGCTATTGCTTAATAAATTCTTCCTTAGTTAAAATTATTTCTCGGCACATATAATTTCACTGATTTCCTTAGGAAGCATTTGTTGGGCACTGACTATGTGCAAGACACAGGAGAAGGCTCTGTTCCCAGAGAATGCATAGCCTGGGAGGCTGAGATGGACCCTCCGAAGAAAGTTACCCCTGTATCACCCCGGTGCCAACTAATGCAAATAACTCCTTTCTCCAAGATAAAATATGTGTCTTTACCAACGGCATGGTTCTTAGGCTCGCTGACTCTCAATATTCTCATCTGCAAAAAGGATAAAAATAGTACCTACCTAATAGAATTGAAATATCCATATAAAGAATTTAAGTGGCTGGGTGCAGTGGCTCATGCCTGTAATCCCAGCAGTTTGGGAGGCCGAGGCAGGTGGATCACGAGGTCAGGAGATCCAGACCATCCAGGCCAATATGGTGAAACGTGTATCTACCAAAAATACAAAAATTAGCTGGGTGTGGTGGCACACATCTGTAATCCCAGCTACTCGGGAGGCTGAGGCAGGAGAATCACTTGAACTCGGGAGGTACAGAATGCAGTGGGCTGAGATCACACCCACTGCACTCCAGCCTGGTGACAGAGTGAGACTCTGCTTCAAAAAAAAAAAAGCTGCCCTGTCAGATTGGAAAAAAAAAAAAAAAAAGAATTTGGTTGGCCGGGTGCGGTGGCTCATGCCTGTAATCCCAGCACTTTGGGAGGCTGAGGCAGGTGGATCACGAGGTCAAGAGATCAAGACCATCCTGGTCAACATGGTGAAACCCCGTCTCTACTAAAAATACAAAAAATTAGCTGGGCACGGTGGCGTGTGCCTGTAATCTCAGCTACTCAGGAGGCTGAGGCAGAAGAATTGCCTGAACCCAGGAGGCGGAGGTTGCGGTGAGCCGAGATCGCGCCATTGCACTCCAGCCTGGGTAACAAGAGCGAAACTCCGCCTCAAAAAAAAAAAAAAAAAAGAATTTAAGCATTGTGCCTGTATGTAATATTACTATACCTTCAAAAATGTTAGTTTCTGTTAGTATTATTGATCAAGAATAAACATATGCCATAATAAATATCCGTAAAAGACTAATACAGTTAAGTTCTAAAATCAGTGCACAAGGTAAAAATCACACGTGATCAAAGTTATCCTTGAAAAATCTCTTAGACTGGCCAGGTGCAGTGGCTCACACCTGTAATCCTAGCACTTTGGGAAGCTGAGGTGGGTAGATCACTTGAGGTCAGAAGTTTGAGACCAGTCTGGCCAACATGGTGAAACCCCATCTCTACCGAAACACACACACACGCACACGCAAATTCGATAGGCATGGTGGCTCATGCCTATAGTCCCAGCTACTCTGGAGGCTGAGGCAGGAGAAGTGTTTGAACCCCAGGAGAAGGGGTTGCAGTGAGCCGAGATGGCACTTCTGCACTCCAGCCTGGGCGACAGAGTGAAGGAAACTCCATCTCAAAACAAACAAACAAACAAAATTTCTTGATGGTTGAAGAGTGATTATACTAAATCATCAAAGTATTTGAAATACCTGGAATTCTCAGCAAGGTGATTGAAGTTCCTCTGTGGTTATCAACTAATTCTTCATACTATTTTTCAACAATGACTTTCAAAGGAGTCCGCACCACAAATCCACACAAACGATAATTGCATTTTGTCAGATGGTAATCATTTCACACGTTCTTTCCACAGCATCCCTGATCTGTGTAGCACATTTCAGAGTTGATAACACCCACTGTTCTCACATTTACTGTTGAGTTCACCTGGTTAAATTGTGTATGATTCAACCCCATTGTACGTCCTACAAGGATCACGAACAGTTGCAGAGTGGAATTCCTCACACTTATAAACTACTCTATTTCCAGAACACAGCATACTTAGAGATGAGATGGACCCTCAGAAGGAAGTTACCCTTGTATTACTTACCCTGGTGCCAAATAATTCAAATAACTCATTTTTCCAAGATAAAACATATGTCCTTACCGACAGCATGGTCCTTAGGCTCTCTGACTCTCAATATTCTCAACTGCAGAAAGGATAAAAATCAGTGGCCAGGTGCGGTGCTCACGCCTGTAATCCCAGCACTTTGGGAGGCTGAGGCGTTGCTACTGGACTCCTTTGCGTAAAACTTGGGAAGTCGTGTTGTTGCTAACTACAGAGAGAATCACACTTGATTCAATCTGAAAAATCCTCAAGGATTTCACTTCTAGTCATACCCCTTGGGTTAGTGAAATGTCCATTCTTAATATCCAGAAATGTTTATTTCTTCAGATACTCTTGAGGCACTGAGGAAGTAGACTAGAACAGACTAGAAAGATTGATGATGTCGGAGTCTGTTCTGTGTTAAATGTGGACCGCACCTCTCATAAGCTATGTATACTTAGGCAAATTAATCTTTCTGAGATGGCAATATCAGTGTACCACTGAGAATTACTCTGTTACATTGCAACAAAAATTTATTATATTATTAGGTCCCTCCTAGCACTTTAGGAGGCCAAGGTGGGCAGATCAGTTGAGGTCAGGAGTTCCAGACTAGCCTGGCCAACATGGCAAAACCCCATCTCTACTAAAAATACAAAAATTAGCCAGGGGTGCTGGTGGTGGGCACCTGTAATCCCAGCTACTTGGCTGAGGCAGGAGAATCTCTTGAACATGAAAGGCAGAGGTTGCAGTGAGCCAAGATGGCACCACTGCACTCCAGCCTGGGTGACAGAGTAAGACTCCGTCTCAAAAAAAAAGTTTTGTTACAATGCTATTGAAACACTAGTCTTTGGTTCCTTGAGCAATAATTGTATTAAAGTCCTCTTGGAATCCTTATTTTTAGATAAGCAAAACTGTTAGTGATTATAGATTAGAGGTTATAAAATACAAAGGAACGCCAATAGGTATGAATTTAGGGATGGCAGAATGGTGGGTGGATAAGATATGGGAACTCTCAAGTAAGGCCTGTAGATTTTGAGTGCTGCCTCTGCCATTTCCTGGCTGTGTGGCCTTGGGCAATGTACTTGTCACTCTGTTGCTTCTGATAGCAAAGCAGATGGTGAAATGGACTCCCAGTTGAAGAAAGATAAGGTTTAAAGTGTGTTCTTTGGCTGTTGTCTGGAGATTGGATGACAGCAGGAGTCTAGGCAAGGTGAAAGGATATCAGTGTTTCAGGTGAGTCCAGGTGGCTTGGGCGGGGGCGTGGCAGTGGATGTGGGAGAGATAGAGAGTGATAATTAATTGGATTTGGTTGGGCAGACAGTAGTCAAGGGTGACTCCTAGGTTTCTGGTTTGTGTTATTGTAAGAAGAATGGATGAACTTCATTGATTTCTTTTTCTTTTTTTTTGAGATGAAGTTTCATTCTTGTTGCCCAGGCTAGAGTGCAATGGTGCGACCTTGGCTCACTGCAACCTGTGCCTCCCGGTTCAAGCAATTCTCCTGCCTCAACCTCCTGAGTAACTGGGATTAAAGGAGCCTGCCACCATGCCTGGCTAATTTTGTATTTTTAGTAGAGATGGGGTTTCACCATGTTGGCCAAGCTGGTCTTGAACTCCTGACCTCAAATGATCCACCTGCCTTGGCCTCCCAAAGTGCTGGGATTACAAGCTTGAGCCACCATGTCAGGCATATTTTCTGTTTATTGTAATATCTATCATACCTGCCAAAAACATTTTCTGTATATTCAATTTAAAGAGGCATAATTCAATAATATGCCTCTTAATCAGAGACTGAACCTAAAAAGCAACCTTTTGACCAAGTCCTTTTCCAACATTTTAAATGCATTCATTTGTCTTAAACCCTGAAAGTTATTTTGTTATTGTGCACAATTGCTAAAAGGACAGTGTGTTAAAAATTACGAGTGAGGAGTCTTAAAATAAATCCTTAATTTGTTTTCTATTCCAGATTGGAACCAGAAATTAGCCACAGTTTCGCTGAATCCTCGACCACTTAATTCACTGCCAGAGCTCTACTGTTGTGAAGAGAGAAGCGGCTTTGAAAGAAATGCTTCTAACCTAAAATAACCATGGCATTCGAACAAAATAACGTCTGGCATTCTTAGGTGACTCTTTTAGACTAAGTTAATGGGAGCAGAACTACTTTTAATGGAAGTGTATATACAGATGACTACAATCCTAAAATATTTACATGCGGCAAATTCTTTTCAGATTACGTTGGTCAGCTTAGAGCAGGGAATCACGATCTAGCCTTAAGAGAACTTGGTTTTTAGCCCCACTCCCAGTCTTGCTGCTGATGCTGGCAAACCATCTTACACATAGGCCAGTGGTTATACGGAGGCTCAGGTAAGAATCACTGCATCTGCACAATCATTGCACCACTGCTGGGAAAAATAAAAAAGAACCTGGGGGTCACGGCCAATTGGAAAGAAGACTGGCACTAGGGACCCTAAAGGGGCTGTGGATGGAGAAACCCAGGTATAGCATGGGGCTGTAGTGAGATGTGGGGCTGGTAAAAAGTATTAACTCAAAGTTCGTCTGCAGGAGTTAACACCCCTGTCTTGGCAAGAAGAAAGCCTGACAGCTAGGCATCAGCTCCTCAGGCAGAAAGCTAACAGGTCTTCTCTAAGGAGAGGAAAGGATCCCAAAGACAAGAACCTTACATTTTGCTTCTGGGGACCTCTGTCCTCCCCCAGTTCCCCAGCACTCATCCCCTCTTCACTCACCCCCAAATAACACCACATAATTCATAAACTTCTCCCAAGAATGCAGAGTTCCAGCCAAGCACGGTGGCTCACGCCTGTAATCCCAGCACTTTGGGAGACCAAGGCGGACAGATCACGAGGTCAGGAGTTTGAGACCAGCCTGTCCAACATGGTGAAACCGCATCTCTACTAAAAATACAAAAATTAGCCAGTCATGGTGGTATGTGCCCATAATCCCAGCTACCTGGGAGGCTGAGGCAGGAGAATCACTGGAACCCAAGAGGCAGAGGCTACAGTGAGCCGAGATCATGCCACTGCAGTCCGGCCTGGGCAACTCTGTCTCAAAAAAAGAGGCCATATGGTGACTACAGCCCTTATCCCCGTTTTTATAATGGCCGCCTGCTACTATCCATTCTGTATTCCTTTTGACCTCAACACACAAGTCGGCAGTCATGGTTCTTTACCTGGTGGAGCGGCCTAAACCTCCATTCCTGAAGGATCTGGTGGTTAGCAGTCCTGCCTGGATTGCGTTGTTGTAGTTTTACCCTAACCTTAATCACACGGCGTGGTAATGCTGAGGCATCCTAAGTGACCTGTACACCAGACAGTCCTCCTTTGGGGAGTGGTCCAGTTTCCCCTTGGTAATGCAAATCAACCGCCCCAACCAGCAACTAACTTCCTTCTTAGCTTGTTGACTCAGAGGCACGAGGAGACCACAATGGCTGGGCAGCAGTCTTAAGTCCAGTTCAACGGATCACTGTGTCTCCTAGCGGGAGCGTTCCTCCCTCTGGAACTAAGATCTCTGGGCCAGCAGAGCACAAAGTCCTGGGAACAGTAAGCAAACATTTTGCTAATGGGTTACTAAGGGTAATAGTCACACTACTCCCATGTCTACCTCTTGATTCCTGGATCTGTGAATCCCAGCTGTGGGAGAGCGAGCACCGTATATTGGACACTGATTCAGAGCATTTCCAGCCTTCTGGAGAAGCTTCCTGAAAGCGCTGCAAGGTATCACCCCCTAGCTGGTACCACAACTGATTCCACAAAAGGCGATTCCATAGCTCTGTCAAGCCAGCTGCTTCCGGATACAGTGGGGAACACAGTGAGACCCAAAAATTCCGTGAGCATGAGCATAAGCCCCTTGCTGCACTTCTTTGGCTGTAATGTTGAATTCTTTAATCAGAACGCAATGCTGTGTGGAACAGCACGATGGTGGAAAAGGCTTTCTGTAAGTCCACACATAGGAGTTTCGGCAGAAATACTGCGTTCAGGGAAGACAAATCCACATCCAGAGTAAGTGTCTGTTTTAGTAAGGACAAACTGCTGCCCCTTCTATGATGGAAGCAATCCCATGTAACCCACCTGCCCCCAGGTAGCTAACTGATCACTCCAGGGAATGGTGCCGTACTGGGGGCCAGGCTGGCCTTGGCAAGTTGAAGTTCATGTTGCTGAGCCCATGTATAAACTCCATCCTTGCCACCATGGCTATTTTATTCATGAGCTCCTTGGGTAATGATAGTGGTGGCTGGGGAAAGAATCTGACTGGTATCTACAGAATGGATCAGCCTATCCATTTTATTATTAAAATCCTTCTCTGTTGGCTGGGTGCAGTGGCACATGCCTGCAATCCCAGCACTTTGGGAGCCTGAGGTAGGAAGAATTGCTTGAGCCCTGGAGTTTGAGATCAGTCTGGTCAATATGTTAAAACCTCATCTCTACAAAATAAATAAATAAGCCAGGCATGCACCCGTAGTCCAAGTTATTCAGGAGGCTGAGGTGGGATGATTGCATTCCAGCCTGGCGACAAATACTATCTTGACCCAGAAAAAAAATTAATTAACAAAATCCTCTCTTGAGGTCCCCTTCAATGAACCTTCACATGGGACACAAATATCTTTGTGTTTTTTGCCCATTCAGAGATATCTATCCAAATACCTGTTACCCAAATTTCTTTTTCTTTTTTTAAAAGTATAATAGAGGGGCTGGGCGCAGTGGCTCATGCCTATAATCCCAGCACTTTAGGAGGCTGAGGCAGGCGGATCACTTGAGGTCAGGAGTTTGAGACCAACCTAGCCAACATGGTGAAACCCTGTTTCTACTAAAATACAAAACTTATCCAGGTGTGGTGGCGGGCACCTGTACTCCTAGCTACTTGGGAGGCTGAAGCAGGAGAATCGCTTGAACCCAGGAGGCGGAGTTTGCAGTGAGCTAAGATTACACCACTGCACTTCAGCTTGGGTGACAGAGTGAGATTCCGTCTCAAAAAAAACCCAAAAATATAATAGAGACAGGGTTTTGCCATGTTGCCCAGGCTGGTCTTGAACTCCTGAGCTCCAGTGATCTGCCTGCCTCAGCCTCCCAAAGTGCTAGGATTACAGGCAAGAGCCATCACGCCTGGCCCCTCTTCTCCAAATTTGTCACTAAATTTCCAATCATGTTGGGCCATCCAGCCAAAGCACTGGCTACAGGCCATGAATTAATATTTAATTGCACTACTGGCCATTTCTCCTTCTAAGCAGAGTGCGTAGCCAAGTCTGCTATGCAGAGTTATGCCCCACTGGGAGGATTTCTCTTTACCACTGTCCTTCAGGGGCGCCCCAGCGAGGGACTGTGGTGCTGTGGCTGTCCACTTTCAGGTGGTGCTGTGTATCACGTGGAACCGTCTGCAAACTAGGCCCGGTCTTCCTTTTCTGTGTCAGCTGATAATAGAAAACTCCCCATGAAGCCACAAGTGCAGGCTGAGGAAGAGAAGGCAGTGATGAAGGAGTGGGGACCACTTCACGTAACTTACTTGTGCCTTCAGGACCTGTTAGGGCCTAATCACATACATACCACTTCTATTTGAGAATGGGATGTTGTGCTGCTATGCACACCCAACTTACGACTTGGTGGGTCAGATAACATCAGTTCGTGACGGGCAGCTAGGGGTGCATGGCAATTTGGTGGTCCATGGTCAAGCATTCAGTCTCTGCTAAAGTCCAGTAGTAGGCCAAGAGCTGTCTGTCAAAAAGAGAGAAGCTATCCAAGGATGTTGGCAGGGCCTTGCTCCAAAATTCTTTTTTTTTTTTTTAACTTTTTTTCTGTCTTTTTTGGGTAAACCAAACCAAAGATAAAACAACTATTTGAAATTTCACACTAGAGATTTTGCTGGTCCCCCAAATAAAAACATTCTTTCCTGGCAAAACAATCCCCAATTGCAATGATGGTCGCTCCCAATTCATCAGACTCTATCAAGCAATGCACTCTCATTCCCCACACCTGGGGTAACTAGTGCCATGTATGCAAACCACAGCCAGAAGGGATGAATAAACAGTTTAGCAAAAACCTACACACTCAACTGGAGTCAGTTCTGTTGCCTTTTGTTCACGCTTATGAACTTGGAGTGTCCACACGTGGCTTGACAGAAGCAGCACAGGGGCAGCTTAAACCCATCACAGGATTGAACTGGGCAGGTTTCCTGAGCCCAGCCCAGGAAACCAGGCAGAACAAAAGTGTCCCAGGGTTTCACTGGAGAAGCAGCAGCAGCAGCACCAGGCCTGTCCCCCATCTCTTGGTCTCATCACTGAGGGGAGGCCCAGAGAGGCAGCAAAGTCAGCAAAGGGCCCCCCATTACAGTGCAGAAGGAAAGGGCCCCCCATCACAGTGCAGAAGGAAAGGGCCCCCCATCACAGTGCAGAAGGAAAGGGCCCCCATCACAGTGCAGCAATGCCAGCTGGCATCTTCCTGCTGAAGACCTCTGGACAGAGAGATAATCCCAATGTTTGGCAGTGATCCCTCTGTATGGAAGGGAACCAAAACAGGAAACCAAGGCAGCTGGTTTGAGTCTTGAGCACCGCTGTTGGCAGACACCTACTTGAGGTTTTCAGAGACTAAAGGGATGGGAGTGTGAAGGAATGGGAGTGATGGTGCTGCTGCTGCTGCTTCTCAAGCTCCATCTCAGCATCCCTCTGCAGTTGGAAAGCTGGAAGCTGCTGAAGCCTCTTTGTCCTGCTCTTGGGGTGTGGCTGGTGGCATGTTGCAGAGTCTACCTGTGGAGCTTCCAGTCTCAGCCCTGGTCAGCACGGTGAGTATGCTACCAGAAGTCATAGGGAATGAGGAACTCCGGCTTCACCCATGGGAAGGGGTCTGCAGGCTTTCCCCACAGGCCTGAATGGAGTGGCAAGGAACACACAGAGTCAGTGTTAGTTGAGAGCTGGTGTTCAGTAGTCCCCCAAAAGTGTAATTATTTTCTTTTAGACAATGCAGTTACCTTGGGAAAAGCTCGTAGATCCTTTTAGGGAAGGCAGGGAGAAATAGAAGAGTATAAATTGGTAGTGTACCAGGATCCTTTCTTGAGGGTACCTGGTCTCTCCTTCATTCAAGAGGTCTGGTTCTGTAAAATGACTTAAGTCTGGAATTGATAATTGGGCCATGACTCTGTTTGTATAATTTATGTTAAGATTTTTGTTCACTTGACTTAGAACTTTGCTGCTTAAAGAGATCAAGGAAGAATTTCGTAGATTTCCTATCTATTTCACTTCTAGGCACACCATAACTAGCCAGCACTGTAGGTCTTTGTGAGTCAGACTATTCCACATGCTGTTTTGACTCTGCTGTCCATTATGGCGACTACACCCACCTTGCCTTTGGCAGCTGAGGGCCACTACTTGGCCTCTGCTACCTAGGGATCCAAATATCCCCATTGCGTTTAGGTTTTCCATTGAGTGGCTATGGTTCCCACTGTAAGTTCTGGCCAACAGAGAACAATCACCAGCTCATCAAGGATGGTGGGGTTCCTCTCACAATTTTTCAAAGGATCAGTGAAAGATGTCTTCTGGACCCATCCAGTGTGGGTGAGTAGGTCTTAAATGACAAATCCACTCTAACATTCCAATCTCTCTAAGCCTTTGACTCACTTTATCTACATATCAAGGCAGGTCAGGTTGAGCATTTCCAATTCACTCACAGTGGGCCATCTTTTGAGCCAGCCAAATAGTAAGAGCCCTTTCTCTGAGCCACAACCTTCAGTGTTTAGTGGGCTTATATCAATACATTTACCCCAATCCAACTTTATTTTCCTTCTACCATTATTCCACGCCGTTAATATTCATTCCCATTGCATGTTCTCTGGGGTATTGAGGTTTCTATTATTATGGAATCATTTCTCCATTCCATTTTGTCAGTGTTTGCTTCATTTATTTTGCCGGGGCTCTGTTGTTTGCTGAGTATGAATATGTTTATAAGTGTTACATCTTCTGGATGAATTGACCCTTTTATCAATAGATAATTCCCTTGTCTCTTGTAACAGTTTTAAATGTAAAGCCTATTTGTGGAATAACTTTTTCCACCCCTTCACTTTCAACCTATTTGTATCTTTAAAGAGAGTTGCTTGTAGAATAGCATATAGTTGGATTATCTCTTATACCTAATTTCCTTCATTACTGCCTTCTTTTGTCCTTAGCTGATTTTTTTTGTAGGGTTCTATTTAATTTCCTTATCATTCCCTTTGATGCATATATTTTATGTATTTTCTTAATGATTACCATGAAGATTACAATTCACATCCTGAATTTGTAACAGTATTATCTTAATTGATACTAACTTAGCTTCAATAATGTACAAAATCTTTGCTCCTATGCAGCTCTTTCCTGACCTTGTCATTGCCACAAATTACATTTTAATGCAGTGTACCCAATAGCATAAATTTTTATTATTTTTTATGCATTTGTCTTTTAAATCTTGTAGAAAAGAAAAAGTGGACTTGCAAACCAGAAATATTAATACTGGCTTTTATCTTTACTGGAGATCTTTATTTCTTCATTCAGCTTGAAGTTACTGGCTAGTTTCATTTCAAACTGGGAGACTCCCTGTAGCACTTTTTTTGTTTTTTCGAGCGTTTTTTGAGACATTCTTCCTTTGTCACCCAGACTGGAGTACAATCTTAGCTCACTGCAACCTCCACCTACCCAGTAAGTGATTCTGCCGCCTCAGCTTCCAGAGTAGCTGAAATTACAGATACATGCCACCATGCCTGGCTAATTTTTTAATTTTTAGTACAGATGAGGTTTTGCCGTGTTGGCCAGGCTGGTGTCCAGCTCCTGGTCTCAAGCACTTCACCCACCTCGGCCTCCCGAAGTGCTGGGATTATAGGCATGAGCCACAGTGCCCAGCCCCACTCCCATTTTTTTTTTTAAAGAATATGTTTATTTTGTTTCACTTTTTGAGACAGAATCTCACTCTGTCACCCCGGCTGGAGTGTAGTGGTGCAATCCTGGCTCAATGCAACCTCTGCCTCCCGGGTTCAAGTGATTCTCCTGCCTCAGCCACCCTAGTACCTGGCATTACAAGCGCCTGCCACCATGCCTGGCTAATTTGTTTGTATTTTTGGTAGAGATGAGGTTTCACCATGTTGGCCAGCTGGTCTTGAACTCCTGGCCTCAAGTGATCTGCATACCTTGGCCTCCCAAAATGCTGGAATTACAGGTGTGAGCCACTGCATCTGGACATGTAGCACTTTTTAAAGGGAAAGGCCTTTGGGTAATATTCTTCCTCCACTTTTGTTTATCTAGTTATGTCTTAATTTCTTCTTCATATTTGAAAAATAATTTTGCCAGATATTCTTAGTTTTTTTTAGTACTTTAAGTAAATATTATCTCATTTTTTGTCCTGACCTGTACAATTTTTGTAAGAAATCAGCTTTTAATGTTACTGAGGATCCCTTGTACATGATGAATAACTTCTCTCTTGATGCTTTCAAGATGCTCCATCTTTGTCTTTTGACAGTTTGATTATGTGTCTCAGTGTAGATTTCTTTTGTGTTTATCCAGCTTTGAATGGATTAAGCCTCTTGGATTTGTAGATTCATTCCTTTCATCAATCTTTGGAAGTTTTTGATTATTTC